GAAAAAAAAAAAAAAAGACAAAATGTGATGCAGTGTTCAAATGACTACCTGACACTCCTGGACATCTGCAGAGGTGGGACACCTCCAGCCCAGAGGCAACTGGCTGATGGGCAGCATCCCCCACCATGCAGCCCAACAGCTGGCTCATGATGCGTGGGTCTGGATTCACCATGAGTGAGGCAGTTTGGGGATACATGACAAATGCACAAAAGCGCCAGCTGTCCCAAAGCTGATTAAAACACTGTGGAGGACTGGCTACATTTAAAAATAGATTTCCAGAGACAAAATGTAATTTTCAGATTCAACTCTATTAATCTAAAGGATGTAATTTCATTGTAACAAAGTATGTGGCAAACTGAATTCGAATGGGAATGATAGGAATAATAATTGTATCTTGCATTCCAGTAGCCCATTATAGTTTAGAGAGTACTGTCTTGAGGACATCTCCACATAGCAGGGTAGGGATTTCCTTAATTTGATAAATAAGCACCTGAATGCCCTGGAGGGGGGAGGGGAGAGTGAACCCACCTTAGGAGCCAGTATTAAACCCAAGTCTTTCTCTGGAATTCTGAACATAGGAAGAACATGCTGTGATCAAACAACCAAACAGTTCATTAACAAAAATGGTTAATAAACACTACAAAAGGCAAGTAGACGGGGAAGATTGGTCAAGGCAAAAGAAAAAAGTTTAGGTCATAACCTGTATATTATTCTGTTTTTAATTTTTAAAGCACACATATGTATCTATATGTTTAAAAAATTTCAAACAGGGGGCATCTGGGCGGCTCAGTTAAGTGTCTGACTTTGGCTCAGGTCATGATCTCAGTATTCTGGGATTGAGCCCCACTCCCTGCTCAGCGGGGAGTCTGCTTCTCCCTCTCCATCTGCCCCTCCCCTCCACTCCTGTTCTCTCTCTCAAATAAATAAATAAAATCTTAATAAAATTAAAAAATAAAAAAATTTCAAACAATATAGAAATATCTAATATGCAGGCTCTTTCCCTCACAACTTCCAATTCTGGTAACTCCTCAAAGATAATCATTTTTAATCCCTCCAGAAAAATGTTATGATTTCAAATATTAAATTACTGTATATTTTTAAAAATCACAGCAAGCGAGATCATAAGCACCATGTTATTTTCCCCACTTACTAATATACTTTGATCTTTCTCTATGGGTACAATTATGCCACCAACTGTGTACTGATACACACTCAGGTGTTGCCAGTATTTTACTGTTAAAATAATGTTACAACTATCCACATAGATCATCATCCTCTTTCAAGTAAATCAGTAATATTAAATGCTAAGGAGCAGAAATCCTTGGTGAAAGATTATATGCATTTCAAATCTAGACAGATATTATCAAACTGTCCTTGTACATCAACTATATGTGGAGCGCCAGTTCCCTACACCCTTAATAACACCAGAAATAATCAACTGTTTTAGTATGTTCATCTATGAGAGGAAATAGTATATTAATTCTTGTTTTGATTTACAACTCTTTACCTCTATGTGAGACTTAGCATCTTTCCTAGTACCTGTCTTTATGGTTTAATGTGAACTGCCCTTTTTCTATTCTTTTTCTCTTTTTCTTGTTGATTGATATAAACTCTTTGTAAATAAGCCTTTCGTTACATGTATTGCAAATAACTTCCCTGTTTTTACAAAGTAGTTTTTTATATTCAAAATGAATTTTCATCTTTTTTTTAAAAAAAAGATTTTATTTATTCATGAGAGACAGAGAGAGACAGAGAGAGAGGCAGAGGGAGAAGGCTCCATGCAGGGAGTCCGATATGGGACTCGATCCCGGGTCTTCAGGATCAGGCCCTGGGCTAAAGTCGGCACTAAACCACTGAGCCACCAAGGCTGCCCAATTTTCATCTTTTCTTATATGGCTTCTGTGTTTGTTTCTACTTAGAAAGGCCCTTCCAAGACCAAGACTACAAATTGACTCTGAGGCTTTCTCTTCCCACATTCAGGGTTTCACTTCATAATACCAAAATCTTGAAATTTATTTTGATGAGAGGAATGAGATAAGGATTTAGCTTTATTTTTTTCCTGAAGACCCAATCAGTCATCATTTTCTAATGAATTATCTATCTTGATAAAAAAAAATGCTACTTTTATCCTATACTATCATATTACCCTTGGTGTAATCTGGATTTTCTCCCTTGTTCTGCTCAATTGCATACCTATTCTCCAGTTCCAAGATGCTTAAATTTAGCCCCTTGATTACTGTGTTTCAGAAATATTCTGGTTATTCTAGAATACTTAGTCTTTGAGATCAGAGCTTATCAACAGAGGCATTATTAAGACTTTGGGCTGGACAATTCTTTATTGTGGGGGGGCTGTCCTATGTGTTGTAGGATGTTCAGCAGCATCCCTGACCTCTACCCACTAGATGTCAGTAGCACCCCCCTAATTATGACAAAAATGTCCCTAGACAATGCCAGTTGTTCTTTGGATTAGGGTGGAAGGCAAAAAGGCCCCCAGTTGAGAACCACTGTTTTTGATAAATCCAGTATCACTTTACCAGGGTTTGCACTCCCAATCAATTCCCACTGATAATCTTAACTGAGATGAAGATAAAGTCATAGAATAATTTAGACAATGTTACTATATTTAAGATATTATACTTCTTATTATATTAATATATTTATATATAATTATACTTATATATTATTATTATATTTGATCTTCCTACTCAAGAACGATGTATGTCCTTCTACTTATTTACATCTTCTTCAATGTCCTTCAAGAGAGTTTTAAGATTTAAAAAAAAATACAGGCTTTTGTAATATTAAGTTTATTCCTTGGTATTTTACCTTTTATATTCCTTTATAAATGGGATCATTTCTTGTATTATTTATCTCTTCTAACCAGTTACTGATAAGAAAGCTATTTATATTTGATATTCTATAACCAACCACACACTTAAATCCTGTTGTATCTAACAGATCTGCAGGACATTCTAAGTTTCTTTCTAATGCCACAATTTTCAGGAAATTTTAAGCATTTTTCTAAGCATACAATGTTATCCTCTGCAGAAAATCTTTTGTTTCTTCATTTCCAATATTTCTGTAGCTAGAGCTCTCCTGTCTCACTACTTTGGCTAATGCTTGCAGAAAAATTTAGATGACAGTGGTAATGATGGGCAATCTTGAATCATTCTTGACTTTAGTGGCATACTTCCAAGATTTCAACCTTGAGAACAGCCCTGGCTTTGGCTTGAGATACATATATTGTATCCCACTAGAGAAGTATCTCTACATTTATAGTATATCCAAAGTTTGTTTTTAAATCAGAAAGTGCTAATTTTGCCAAGCGTGTCTTCCATCTCTATTGAGATGACCAATGGTTCTCCTTTGGTCTATTAATGTTGTGAAACAGATTATATTCCTAAATTTCCAAATACTAACACATTCTTGGAAAGCATAAATCCACTCGGCTGCTATCTACACTATTACTCTTTTAATTTTTTGTTGAATTCTATTTGCTTGTATTTCAATTCCACATTTTTACATCAATATTTGAGAGTGAGATGATTCTGTCATTTTTTTTTTTTTAGCGGTGCTGTTAACTTTTGGAATTAATGTTTAGGTTGGCATGATAAAAAAAAGTTATACTTTCATTTGTTGTATTTTTAAAACCAAAAGTCTGTATTTAGTATGAAATCAGTCTTTAAAATAGTACAACCATTGTACAGAAATATGAGGCCCTGGGCAGCCCGGTGGCTCAGAGGTTTAGCGCCTGCCTTTGGTCCAGGGCGTGATCCTGGAGACCCGGGATCGAGTCCCACATCAGGCTACCTGCATGGAGCCTGCTTCTCCCTCCGCCTGTGTCTCTGCCTCTCTCTCTCTCTCTCTCTCTCTCTCTCTCTCTCTCTCTCTCATGAATAAATAAATAAAATCTTTAAAGAAAAAAAAAGAAATATGAGGCCCTTACATCCAAAAAAAAAAGTCACATATATTCTTTGTAGATTCAACTGTTTGAAAATTGAATAAATTAAAATATACCTTTAAAAGCTAATCCGGATTGTGGTGTTTTGTGCAGAATGCAGAAATCATAAGAATACCACAGTGCAACATCCATTACAAATTAATAATGACATATTTCAGCTATTTTCCTGTCTTAGTTTATCAATACACAGATATCTGCATTGAAACAGTTGGACCATGGAAATCTTAGCTCTTATGTATGTCTACCTAAAGAAAATTAAATACATTCCTGATGTTTTATGCTTCCCAGGCTCTGAACTCAAATAGGATGATTAAAAAACCTTTTTCTGATTCTCAGAAAACAGCAAAACTGAGGAAGTTTGTGGGTTCCAGAGGCCACTGCCACCTAAGTGACTCAGAGGGTCTTCCCCGTCCCAGAGGATCCAGGAAGGATGTTGCACACCCACGTCTGCGAGAGACCTATGGGATCATTCACTCCTCTAATGTACCCCACACCAACACAACCCCAGAACATACACCACCTTGCCCGGACCGCCAAAGGATTTCACACACACGGTGACAGATGGACACCTGGATGGACAGAGGGAGCCTCAGTACTCTCATTACCTTTTGTCTCTCCTCCGGCTCCTCACTAGATGTAAACTCCCTGTGGGCAGGGACATTGTTGCCTAAACCCCATCCTGGCCCGGAATGAGAGCCAATAACACACATCTAATGAGGGGAGGGATGCAGGAGTCATTGAAGGTTTTTCATATCGCCAAGATGAATGGTCTGCTTAGGTCCTTCCTTCCTGAATCCCCCCTTTATGGGTCCCTCCTGCCTGGGTCCCTCTTTCCTGAGTTCCTCGTTCCTGGGTCTGTCCTGCCTGAGTCCCCCCTGCCTGGGTCCCTCCTTCCTGAGTTCCCCCTACCTGAGTCCCCCCTGCCTGGATCCCTCATTCCTGGGTCCCCCTGCCTGGGCCCCTTGTTCCTGGGTCCTCCCTGCCTGGGTCCCTCTTTCGTGAGTCCCTCCTGCCTGGGGCCCTCTGACCTCCTTCCTACCTGGGTTGCTCCTCAGGCGGTTCTCAGCAGGCTCGGATATGGCTCCAGCTGTGGAAGTCTTTTTCAGTCGAACTACCCCCGAAGTGGCGGTACTTCCTGGTTTGTTGAGCATGTCCTCGCTACTGGCCCTCTTGAGCTAAGAGACAGATAGAGGGAGGATGAAAGCATACACTGTCAGTAAGCCATGCTATACACCAAGAAAGCTCTGAGCGGTACCACCTGCCCGGTGGTTAAGATGCACTAAAGGCACCCTTAGGAGCACGATCATGTGCAGTGGAAAAATGCAAAGCTACGTAAACCTGTGCCTATCATTTACAGGTCAGAGTATGATCTTCCATTACCATTGCAAAATATATTATAAGATTATGGATGTCTATTACCCATCATGTCACACTTCAAATAATGTGTTGTTGTTGTTTTTTAAAAAACACTGTTTTTCTGTTTATTTGTTTGAAAGATGGGTGCCGATGAAGAAAGAACTGTGAGGCACATAAAAGGCAAGATAGGGTAATGCACGAAAAATTCAAGGACAACAAAAAATAGCTTAAAAATACATATCTCAGTCACAGAGATGTATGTATGTGTATATATGTACAAATATGTATATATACATGCACATATATATAGAGGAAGTAGAAGGATGAGATAGCAACGATCCAAATCTTCACCACCTGCTCCACACCAGGCACTCTGCATATGACCTCACACAGACAACATGTTCAAAGGGAAGAGAGGAAGTTTCTGGAGCACTGCTAACGGAAGACAGAAAGAAAGCAGAACCTCTCTGCTCCTTTTCTGCTTTCTTCCCTGTCATGGAACCAGCATAAAACATTTATTGAGAGGAATTGAAGTCTAAGGGGGAGGAGCCCCTAAAGGAGCTCACAGGTCGGCCCAGGTAAATTATAGTCAAGGTTAATGAGAAACACTGCAAATAAGTTTTCTCCACCATTCTAAGTCTTCTTGAAAGAATATCTTTGAAGAAGAATAGAATTAGAAGGCTGGAGCCAGGCAGATGCCCGGAGCCATCCCGAATCTACATGACATCTGGAAAAAGTAGTGTGAAAAAGCCCTCAAGTCAATGGAGATGTGGAGCAAGCAGCCCCCCCCCGCCACACACACACACTGGCTGAGACCCCAACGGCTCTACTCCCTCCTGCTCCACTGGCTTTGGGATCATTTACTGAAGGTTAGGTGTTTAAATATTTGTGCGTGCACACACAAACATTTCCACTTTTGCATTGTTTAGATTTCAGGGTATTACTACACACACTGCAAAATGGCTTGAAAGAGAAAAAAAAAACAAGCAAACCAAGTGTTGGTGAGGTTCTGAAGTAACTGGAACTCTCATGCTCTGCTGGTGGGAGAGTGTGGACTGCTAAACCGCTTTGTAAAACTGGCAGGATCTACTAAAGCAGAATATTTGCACCCTATGATTCAGTCATCCCACTCCTAAGTCTATATCCAAATGAGTACATAGGTTCATCAAAGGAACATTCACAGTGGCTTTATTTACAGTAGCCCAAAAGTAGAACCATACAAATGGTTGTCAACAGAAGGGGCAAATTATTTTTTTAAAAAGATTGTATTTATTCATGAGAGACACACAGAGAGGCAGAGACATAGGCAGAGGGAGAAGCAGGATCCCCACAGGGAGCCTGATGCAGGACTCAATCCCAGGACTCTGGGATCACACCCTGAGCCAAAGGCAGACACTCAACCATTGAGCCCCCCAGGCGTCCCATGAAGGGGCAAGTATACAACGGTAAGTACACAGTAGAAAAAAAAAAAGAAGAATTACTGCTACACTAATAAATGGATGGATCCCACACACATGTTACATGAAAGAAACCAGACACAAAAGAGTATATACTTCCTGACTTCATTTATACGAAGTTAAGAATTGGTAAAACCAAATAATGGTGACAGAAGTTAAAATAGTGGTTACTTCTGGGGGAGTTACTAACTGGGAAAGAAGTCTCTGAGGGTGTGGAACAAGATCCTGAGATCTTGACCAGATCTGAGATCCTGACCTGAGCTGAAAACAAGAGTCAGCCGCTCAACTGAATGAGCTATCCAGGTGCCCCCAGAATGTTCTATATCTTGACTTGGTGGTGGTTATACAAACATATGTAAAAATTCAATGAGCTGTATAGCTAAGACCAGATTAATAACATACTTTGTTATAAGTGTGTTTGGCTTCCACAAAAAAAAAAAAAAAAAGGAAAATGAGGGGCAGGTTATAATTTGGGCGAGGCCCTGGTTCCACCCGTGCAAATGCTAGTCTACTTTGTTCCTTTTCTCTCCACTGTTCTTTTAGAAAATTTTTTATTGTGGTAAAATATAACATAAAATTTGCCATTGGAAGTGTACAGTTCGATGGCATTAAATATGTTCAAACTGTTGTGCAGCCATCATCACCATCCACGCCCATCATCCTGAAGTGAGACTCTACTCATGAAACAGTAATTCTCCATAGCCTACTTTCTAAAAGAGGGAGGGTGGCAAAAGTCTTACTATTAGTCCAGAAATTCTGATCAATGTTTTTAAACAAATTGTTCATTTAAAAAACAAATAGCTAATACTGAAAGGATGATTTGCCTGCACTTCTAGTTACTAGAAGTAAGCAGAATCGTATTTTCTGACCAGTAGCACAGACCCCTAGTTTAACAACAGGACTAAACATGCCACTTGGGTTGTGGAAGAAGTCACTTGATTCCTCTTCCTATGGGGACTCCATCACTGTTTCTCTACTTTCTGTCTCAGAATAACAAGGGTCCCTGCACCCAATTTCTCCAGCCTCTCAAATTATCTGCCAGGTCACCAGTGAAATATGTGTTTAGTATTAAATGGCAATAGTTCATGATGTCAGCAACTTTTTCTCAATAGAAAAAAAAATTATTATTTGCTCTGCCTGGAAGCATGCCCAGATGCCTTCCTGGGTCCTCAAAGAAAATCAATTCTGATTTTAGATTTTGAAAATTCCCTGGACAACACCTCGAATGAAAAAGGGAAATTGTTGCAGTTAACGGAAATTTCTAGCATTTGCAGTGGGTTCTGCTGTCCTCTGTCTGATTTTTGGACAGTACTAAAATCAGTAAGTCTGATGCAAAGTGTAGAACAATCAAATTCCACAGCAGAAGGCTCTTCCCATCCTTTCAATCCCCCTACCCTCCCCTAACTGAAACTGCCTCCTTCGATCCCATCACAGCCTCCACCCATCTTCAGGCTCAGCCCCCCGGCTGTGGCACCCTGGGGTAGAATTTACCACCCATTCATTCCAGCTTTCCGTAAGAGCTCTGTCCTTGGGGCCCCTGGGTGGCTCAGTCAGTTAAGCATCTGCCTTCAACTCAGGTCAAGATCCCATGTCCCCAAATGGAACCCCACATTGGGCTCCCTGCACTGAGTGGTCTGCTTCTCTCTGCCCCTCACCCAGTTTGTGTGCTCGCTCTCTCGCTCTCTCTCTCAAATAAACAAGTAAAATCTTAAAAAAAAAAAAAAAAGAGCTCCGATCTTGGTGAGATGACAGGCGGAGTTCAGAAAGGACAGGAGTAAGCAAGCAGTGGGAGACTTACCCCTTGGTGGTCCCACTCTGTGTTATAAATAGATCCGATCCTGCCCTTTCCAGGCAAGAGGACAGCATCAGGCTATCTCCTTCCCACACAGCGTGGGGAATTTGGGTGGCAGCAAGGCTTTTACAGGGGAGCACCTTCCACAAGGCATCCTATCTTAGAAAGATTTATTGCTGGGAAAGCTCCCCCAGGAGGCAGCATACAAGAAGAAAAACTGGTCCTTCCTGTCCTCTGAAGCAGATCTCTTCCTCTGTCACTCTTTTTTGGCTGTAGCATCATCTATGGGAAGCCACTAGTCTTAGTAATTCTTGTTCTGTCTCTATTCATGGCTGCACTCTGGGCTTTGTTTCCTGGTCCCTGAATGCAGTTTGGCAACCGCTTGAGATCTTTGGTTTGTTACAGAGAGGATCACTAGGCAGGTATGCACTTCAGGTGCTACACTGATATGTGTAATAGGTATTTACAATAATGCTTTCACTGATATTTAAGCTGCTGAGCACCTGCACATGGAAGCATACAGAAGCAAAAAGTTTGAATGGCTTACAGATTAATGTAACTAAGAAATTCCTCTCGATTCCACAAAGATGGGGGCAGGGAGTAGAATCTAAAGCTCTAAAATCATTACATGTAATCTAATCCCATCTTCAAAGGTAGAAGTGTGTTATGGCTGGAGCAGTGACTCTCAAACTTGAGGTGTGCATGAGAATCCTTGGAGGGCTTGTTAAAATGCAGACTTCTGCCTATACCCCAGCTTCCAATCTGCCCAACACCAACCTCAAGTTGCCAATTCCCAAGGTCTGGAGTGAGGCCCCGAGAATCTGCATTTCTGACAAGTAGCCTGTTGGTGTTGATGCTGCTTATCTGGGAACCACACTCTATGAACCAATGGTTTAGCACAGCACCATTGATGGAAATATAACACCAGCCACGTAAGCATAGTGGCCACATTAAAAAAGCAAAATGAAAGGTAAAATAAATTAACCTTAAGAATATATTTTCTTAACCCAACACAAAATATTATCAGTTAATGTAAAATATATTAATAAGGCATTTTACATTTTTTTGTACTGACTCTTCACAATCTGGTATGTATTTCACCCTTACAGCACATTTAATTTTGACATTTCAAGGGACACCTGGGTGGCTCAGCGGTTGAGCATCTGCCTTTGGCTCAGGTCGTAATCCTGGAGTCCTGGGATCGAGTCCTGCATTGGGCTCCCTGCATGGAGCCTACTTCTCCTCTGCCTATGTCTCTGCCTCTCTCTCTGTGTCTCTCATGAATAAATAAATAAAATCTTTAAAAAAAATTTTTTTTGACATTTCGAGGGCTCAACTGCTGCACGTGGCTAGTGGCCATCGTAGCGGGCAGCACAGGGGCAGCACTCCTAGAGAATGATTATGTAAGGTTGCTGAAGGAGAACAAGCATCAGCAGGTGAGGAGCAGAGGGTCAGAGGCAAGCAGAGATGAGCAACAGAGGAACAGAGACTGGTATGTTCCAGTCTAGACTCAGAGAGGTTGTGGCCTTTCTGAGCTCCAAGCCTGCACCTTTTTCTCCAAATGACATAGAAACCTCAGATCTGCTCAATCCATTACTTTTCTGCTGAAGCTAGCTCCAGCCAATGCTTTGCCATATGCAGCGAAGGGGGTCCTGACTAATAGACTTGGGCATTATTATTAATACGGCTGGAATGAAGTGGCCTGTCTGCCTCGGAGCACCCCAGGGTTTGAGCAGCATAGGGAAGACCTACAGTAACACTCTTTGGGCCATCTGGGCTCCTGGTCCCTCATCCTGTTCTTACTCTGCTCCTGCGGCTGGGGCCAGTATTTGAAGTAGGGCATTTCATTCAACTTTGCGAGACTTGTTTCAGTTTTCCTATTTGTGACTAATTCAAATATATCTATCCATCCCATATGTATCCATTCACTATAACACAAATATAGTAAGATGGCAACTGTAGCATCCAGGTGGTTGGTATATGGGTGTCACTGTCATTTAACTTCTCTGGGTGCTTGCCATTTCCATAGTAAACTACTGAGGGAAATGAATCCTTTACCCAATACTGGATGTGGAAAGGGAAAAATGGAAAAAGCATAGAAATGTGACAAGAGCTAGGGAAGCACAGGCTTGGTATGGCTCATTCTGCTACCCTGACCCTCAAATGCTTCCCCTTTATAGAGTAAGACCTGGGGACCCTAAGAATCAGAAATGACAACATGGATTTTTGCTTTTCCCCTGACATTTTCCCCGTGGAAGAAGTTTCCAAAAAAATTGACCTATCCCTCCCTGGCATAACCAGCCAACACTTCATTGTCCTTAGGAAACCTTGCTGGACTTCAGACATTTTTTATTAAACATTGCTTTAAAAAACATTTTGAGAGCCCCCTGGTGGCTCAGTGGTTGAGCGTCTGCCTTCAGCTGAGGGCATGATCCCAGGGTCCTGGAATCGAGTCCTGCATCAGGCTCTCAGTAGGGAGCCTGCTTCTCCCTCTGCCTGTGTCTCTGCCTCTCTCTCTGTGACTCTCATGAATAAATAAATAAAGTCTTGAAGAAGAAGAAGAAGAAGAAGAAGAAGAAGAAGAAGAAGAAGAAAGAAGAAGAAGAAGAAGGAGGAGGAGGAGGAGGAGGAGGAGGAGGAGGAGGAGGAGGAGGAGAGGCCAAGGCATAGGGGTGGGAAGGAGGAACGCTCCAGGCAGAAGAGCAGCAAACAGGCTGCTTCAGGAGTGTACCTAGCTCACAGAGGGACAGTGCCCCTGGGCACCAGAAGACCGTGTGGCCAGAGCCCAGGGAGCAGGGCAGAGGAGGGGGCAATGACATCTGAGAGGGAATAGGATCTCCAGGGCATCACTGGCTATATCAAGGACTTTGCTTTTCACTCTGAGTCAAATGGGGAACCTTGAGGGACGTTTAAATGGAGAAATGATGACATATGTGTTGAAAGGACCACTCCGGCTTCTGCTGAGACCAGAATGTAGGGTGCAAAGACAAAAGGACAGAGATCATTGAGGAAGGCCATGTAAGGAAGGTGGTGGCATGAGCCAGGTGGTCCCAAGGGAGGCGGTGGGAGCCAGCTGAAGTTGGCATCGATTCTGAAGGTAGAAGTGATAGCATTTTGCTGATGGCCTGTGGCATATGAGAAAATCAGGGCCCAGGATGGTGGCTCTGGCCTGAGTCACTGAGAGCATGAAGTTGCTCAAAGGGGAAGACTCATGAGGAGCAGGAAGATTGATGGGGGCAGGTGAGGCGGTGGGGAAGGAATCTGATTTGGACAGGTTGCATTCTAGGCGCCTTTTATTTTTAGTTTTAAAAAAGATTTATTTATTTTAGAGAGAGAAAGAAAGAGTGCACGTGCAAGCAGGGAAAGAGGGAGAGGGAGAGGGAGAGAGAATCTCAAGCAGACTTTGTGCTGAGTGCGGAGCCTGATGCAGGGTTCAATCCCACCACCCTGAGATTACAACCTGACCTGAAACCAAGACGCTTAATCGACTGAGCCACCAGGCGCCCCTCTAGGCACCTGTTAGACAGCTAAGAGGCGATGTCACAATATCAGCTGGAGTGCTCCTGCATGGAGATGTCAATTTGTATGCCATCCACATATAGAGTTAACCCTAGAAAAGCACAAGGGTCAGGGGTGCCAACACCCATGCAGTCAAAAATCCATGTCTATCTTCTGACTCCCCCAAAACTTGATTCATAGCCTACTATTGATCAGAAGCCTTACCAATAAAATAGTTCAGCAACACATATTTTGTATGTGATATGTATTATATACTGTATTCTTACAGTGAAGTAAGCTAGAGAGAAGAAAATGTTAAAATCAAAAGCATCAACTGTAGTATCTAAATGCACGAGAACAGATGCTAACACCTAGAACAGCTGTTCTTGACAGGGACAGTGCAGACACTCACTCAGGAAGCATGCTGGAATTTATGGGGGCATTTTTACTCATCATACTGATTGGAGGCACTACTTATTTTTAATGGGTGGGAGGACAGGGAACCCAGTTGTCCTGCAACGCATGTGGCAATCCTGCACACAACAGTGTCCCATACCCCACAGAATTTTCACACATTCTGCAGACATTCTCAAGGGTGGAGTGCCTTTTTATCATTATCTGAGCCTCAAGCATCCTTTCATTTTATATATGAAAACAACATACTTCTTGCACAGCTGCCCCATCCAGGGTGCTCTAAGGAGTGCCTTTGGTCTCTCAGCAGTCACGCCCAAGCAGATACAGATGGAAATACATATATTTAATTATACACAAATTAAATATTTTTAATTTCCTTTTCTTTTCCTTTTATAGGATGTTATATTGGTTTCTCAAGAGTATGTGTGTAGGGAGGTTATACTATCTCTGAATCTCATCTCAGGATAGTAAGGGAAGCATTGGGGGTGACAGCAGCTAGAAAAGAGGAGACCCCCAAACTGCATGCTGGGCCCACTTGATATTAGAAGCCCAGAGGGTGAGGAGCAGCCATCAGTGGGGACTGGGAGGTGCCTCCTGGGAGGGAGGAAACAACTGAGAGGAGGTATTCCCAGACAGAGGGCATAATCAACCATGTTTACACTGCTGATGGGGAGTTAAGACAAGAAAGAACTGACAACTCCATGAGCAGGACTGAGAAGATCATTGGTGATCTCAACCCCCCCCCCCCCAATCTCCTAGGGTTCTGTGGGCAAAGTTCTAACTGGAGAGTCCACAGAATCCAGGGCAGGGGAATCTGAGTTTCTGTTAAACATTTTGCACATGTCCTTCCTCAATCCCAGAGCACCCCTGCTATACCCTCTTTGCTCTGTTCCTTTGGGTCAGGATGGGCTGGTTCTCCTGGGACCCTCCTTGGATCCTTCCTGGCCTTGAGAGGCCATGAGGCTTGCTTACTGCCCTCTTCAATCCTCGCACCCAGGGCTCCCCGGGGGCACTCAGCAGCCCTGGACTGGGCGTTTTCATCCGTACCTTGCTGAGCCGGGACTCAAACGCCAGTGAGGTGGAAGATTTAGAACTCTTCATGCCCGAAGAAGCTGCAGGGAGGGGCCGCGCCCGGTCTGGCCCATGGCTGCCTGCTTTGATGACTGGACTCCAGGGCTTGGCTGCACTCCTCATGTTTGTCGTAGTGCGTCTGTCTCTCTGCACAAGATTGAAAACAGAAGCATGAATGTCCACAGCTCGAACATGCTGAGCACCATCACAGAGCTTTCCTCCATCTCCTCATTCCCACCATTATTACAGAGAAGGAGGGCTTCTCTTTGGGTTGCACGGTGAGCATTCTCTCTAACTAACCCCTTTGCTTGAAGTCTACTTTGTACAGCTTCACATTGGCTTTTTTTTTCTAAGATTTTAAAAATTCATTTATTCATGAGAGATACAGGGACATAAGCAGAGGGAGAAGCAGACTCCCCATGGGGAGCCTGATGCAGGACTCAATCCTGCATCAGGATCATGTCCTGAGCCAAAGGCAAACGCTCAACCACTGAGCCACCCAGGTGCCCCCTTTACATTGGCTTTTTCCAAATCAGTGAAACCATATGTGAGGGATCCCTGGGTGGCGCAGCGGTTTGGCGCCTGCCTTTGGCCCAGGGTGCAATCCTGGAGACCCGGGATCGAATCCCACGTTGGGCTCCCGGTGCATGGAGCCTGCTTCTCCCTCTGCCTGTGTCTCTGCCTCTCTCTCTCTCTGTGACTATCATAAATAAATAAAAATTTTAAAAAAAGAAACCATGTGTGAGATAGTACGGATGTTCTACATTACTTTTCAGCAAAATGTCAGCTCCTTGGCGGTGAGGGTATCACTATACTAGCATATGGTATGGTACTACCATCATTAGGCTATACTATTATTCCATGTGCCCATATGCCATATGCATATCCCTTTAAAACAGGGCAGCCTGAGTCAAGACATTCTGTGTCCGTAAGTCTTGCAGCTTCCAGGTTGACAAAAGCACGACCTATCTAATTTTCAAATGGATCTAAATGAATTATTTGAAACTTGGATTTCCCAGAAGCACAGCATTTTCCTTCTTTCGGGCAAAAATGGGTATCACTTAAAAATTAATGGAGCATGTTTTAATTGGTCAGACCTGACATTGTGAGGCAGAGCTACCCCCTCACTGAACTGGTTTATGAAAGAAATCGGTGCTAAGTAGCAGGCTGCAGTTCAAGGGCCTGCAGGCAGAGGTGTGGAAGGCAGCCTGAGTCTTGCCATCAGTAGTCAGGGTTCTCGTGCCTGAGTGAGGTGGGGCCTGCCGCCTCCGGACCCTTCAACCCCCTCGGAGCCAGTTAATTCTCTCAATAACGCAACAGCAAAGGAGTAAGTGCTCTCTGGGGGCTCATTCAGCTCTAGCTCTGCCCCTGCCTTTGTGTATTCTCATGGCCAAGGGTGTGACGCAGAATACCAAAACCACAGGTAGTACCTCATCCTTTCTTTTTTTAATTTTTATTTATTTATTTTTGTGCCGCATCCTTTCAAAGGCACAAACCAGAAAAATGCATTTTAAAAAACATCTGTAGGTGACAGACAGCTATTTCCAGTGGTCACTGCTGGTAGAACCTGGAGGTCTAATTAACTGTCCCCAAGGGAGGGGTCATAGCTGGTGCCAAGCTCTAGGCAACGCCCACTTCTGAGCGCCCCGTATCCCAGTAAACCCCATTAGCCACCATTCAGAAAAACAATAGGCTCCCTCCCCAGCCTGCCTCAGGCAGTGATCTCTTCCAGTTCTTGTCTCCTTCTCCTGGCTGCAAGACACCATTTTGACTGACATGCCTCTTGGCCAGGGCCAGCCAGTTCCTATTCCTAAAGTGATTAGCTGGCGGTGGCACGTGTCCCAGAATCTACCTGGAACTGCTTCTGCACCACTATACCCGAGGCTGTGCGAACGTGGCTACAGGTGAAGAGATATGTATTTAAAGACTTTGTCATCTGTTTTCTATAGTGCTACTGAGAAAACTTATCCACGACTTCATTTATGTGATTAGTTCTGAACCTTATTAGCCTCAGCTTCGTTCCAAATATGATTCTTTTTTAAAATTCCATATTACTTCTTGTGTATTTTACTGATGTTTAGCACCAATTATTTTTCTTTCTTGACCCATGATTTTTAATGCTGGTTTCCATGGCAACAGTGAGAGCAATCCTAGGTTGACAACTACACAGCGACTAATTTTATTGGGAATCCCAACATAAATGAATTGACAGAGCCTGAGTAATTCTTTTTTTTTATTATTTTTATTTATTTGAGACACAGAGATAAAGAGAGAGAGAGCAAGAGTGGGGAGGAGAGGGAGAAGCAGGCTCTCACCTGAGCAGGGAGCTCGACATGGGGCTTCATCCCGGGACCCCAGGATCATGACCTGAGCCGAAGGCAGACACTTAACCAACTGAACCACCCAGGCGCCCCAAACTGAATAATTCTTGAAGAAAATGACTGATTACTTTTATCAGTTACTACAGAACCAACCTGCAACGTGTCAGGTTGTCTTATGAAGATGACTTAAATAAAATATCTATTTAATCAAGGCATCCTTTTACATATGATTACCACTACTTCAAAATGACTATTACAGGGCTTACTTTATGAAAACGTAAGATGATTCTGCCAAAGACCAAGGTGATTCTTGGTCAAAACTCAAGATCTAAACTCCTCTCTGAATCTCTGGTGACAAATCTGGCCATCTTCTGGGTGGTACACATGGAAAATGTTCAGCTATTTTTCTTTTCTTTCTTTCTTTTTAAAGATTTATTTAGTTATTCATGAGAGACACACAGAGAGGGGCAGAGACATAAGTAGAGGGAGAAACATGCTTTCTGCGGGGAGCCGGATGGGGGACTCCATCCCAGGACCCCAGGATCAAGCCCTGAGAGAAAGGAAGACACTCAACTGCTGAGCCATCCAGGCATCTCCAGCCATTTTTCAAAAACTGATGAGTTACTTGTTCTGAGGCAAAATTCTCAGGGTTACCTTACTTATATCATTCCTCCTTTCTCTATTTCTCCTAGAACCTTCTGAATCCAATCAAATTATTTCCAAATGGATGTAGCCATGCGCTTGTGTCATCTGGACCTCTCCTGTTCACCATGCTATCCTCCTTTCTTGGTTCCTTTCACTCTCTTTTCTCATTCTTTTTCCCAGACTAAGGCTTCTATTTTGGAACCACATACCAGCCAGATTCTTCCCTTCAAATTCTACCTTCTTTCCAGATTTAAAATATACAGAAATGAGATAATTAATGTCCCACTCCTATGAACCACGGAAAGAACCCTATATAGCATACAGGATGGGATACCTGGAGCTATATCAGGCTCTGCAGGGTCACTGCTACGTCCCAGGGATGGATAAGAGGATGAGAGCTAGTGTGTGAGGAAAACACTCTGGTCAGACCCAACACTAGCCTGGCGCCCTGCTCCCCCTTCTCATGGCTTAGGACATTACTAAACTTTGCCCTGCCCTCACCTCCAGCCTGCACCAGTGTCTTCCCAGAGCTCTCCACATCTTCCAGAGACTGCCTCTTTTTCCTTGCTCTGTGTATACCCAGCTCTAGGCTCTCCTGGGACAGGAGAGGTTTATGGTCAGAGCTGTCCACTGGCAGTGCCTGGCCGGCCTTGGCTCTGCTCTCTGCCCACTTCTAGGAAGGCCTCCTGTGGGAAGGGGAGCAGGTGCCCATAGGTCCCATTCCTGGATTTCTGCAGATTTTTTTGTGCACTCCACTTTTGACGCAGGGAACCAGTTAGTTATAGAAACAGTGCAGTGTGGGAGAGCAACTACTCTATGCCACTCTGAGCCTGGCAAGACACTGCAAAGTACTCTTCATGGATGTCTCTGTAAATCCTCACCCTAACCCTAGGAGGTAAGTATCACCCCCACTTTACAGATGGGGAAACTTCTTTGGCACAGGAGGATTAAGAGACTTGCCCAAATCACGCAGTTTATTATGGAGCCAGGATTCAAGCCCAGCTGTCATTGGCCGTTAAACACCGGGTATGGATATGGCCTCTGTGGCTGATCTTTGCTCCATGGGAAAGCAGGAATGCTTTTGGATCCAATGTTCCTGCTCTAAACCCAGCATCACCATTTGCTGTGTGAACTCGGGATGCTTTTCCAACACCACACGATTCTCAACATCTTCACCAAATAAAGTGGAGTTATTAGTGCAGATGGAAAGAAAACATGGATACCGAGGGCCAGGCACACAAAAGACACTCAGCAAATATTAGGTGCCTTCCCCACAAACACTATTAATCGTGTTCAGCGGAGGGCTGCTCTGCTCTATTATCTCAACGGTACACAGCAATGGATCCATTAAATCAATTTCAGCGGCAGAAGCCAAACATACTGGATTTAAGGAAAGTGCTCATCCTGTATACAGAACAGCCTATTTTCTTGTGGAAACATGAAAGAGGGAAAGTAGAGAAGAAAATAAATACTGAGAGCAGACACATTCCCATCCTGAGAATTGGCGCCAACCTTAATATAGCCTAGCTACTGAGAAAACAGGTGTGACTACTGGGTGAATAATAATTTCCTTATGGATGTAAGTTAGTAACAGAAAATAAATAGGTGGCTTCTGACCAAGTACAAGAATCTTTTTTTTTTAAGGTTTCTATTGTTAATTCCCTGATTTCTGCAAATCCTCCTAAACCATCTCAAAGGATCAAGCTGATGAAAAAATTACAGTTAAATCTAGGAACCCACTCCCACAAGGGTGGGAAGAGGGTCTTCCCAGGGCTGTTTCCTTTACATTTTTCAATTATTTTATTTTCTTATAGAGCTTCTTTCCTTTCCAGAAGAGACTAGACTTATATTTAAACTGCAACTCATGGGATCCCTGGGTGGCGCAGCGGTTTGGCGCCTGCCTTTGGCCCGGGGCGCGATCCTGGAGACCCAGGATCGAGTCCCACATCGGGCTCCCGGTGCATGGAGCCTGCTTCTCCCTCTGCCTGTGTCTCTGCGCCTCTCTCTCTCTCTCTCTGTGACTATCATAAATAAATAAAAATTAAAAAAAAAAAGTAGTTTAAAAAAAATAAAAATAAACTGCAACTCATAAATCATATGGCATAAAGTAGAAAAAAAAAAAAGAGAGGGAGAGGAGGAAGATATAACAGGTATTTTAGGAATACGATTAGGTGTCTGGTC